ATCACTGAAAGCTGACAATCAAAGGAGAGGTTGTGTGCACCATAGCATCTGTATTGGCCTCCTGTAGCCCTGCTCATATAGCCCATATATTATCCCTATGCATGAAAGCAGCATTAAACACCTGGAATAAGGTTCATGAGCCAGGAGAACAACTAAAAGCTTATACCAGAATCGAACAGGGACCTACAAAACTGTTCCAGGACTTCTTACAAAGGTTAACTAGGGCAGTAGAGTTACAGGTAACAGATCCAGAAACAAGACAATCAATTACATATGTAATAGCTTATGAAAATACAAACCCAATATGCAAAAGAATACTTTTGCCTTTAAAGATCAGCTCAGCTCAGCTACAAGAATGGGTTTTGTATACAGCCAACATTGACTATCATGTGCAAGACACTGGATCTTGGGTAGGACAAGTCATCTTGAAAGGTTTAAAAAGGCAACAGGAGATTAAATGTTCTAGAGGTGACAACACAAGGCCTTGGGAAGGAGAAGCACCTTACAGAGGTCAACGTAGGTATCAAGAGGCCAGAGTTTATCACCACTATGAACCAGAACCTTGGGTAGGAAGAGCCTTCCCCAGGAGACCACGAAGGCGCCAGGAACCTAGATGTTTCAGCTGTGGTAGAATTGGACATATCAAGAGAAATTGTAGACAAACGAATTCTAACAGTGCTTCATACAGAAGGCCACTGCCTTCTGGATTGTGTAGAAGATGTGGTAAGGGCAGACACTGGACCAATGAATGTAGATTGACCAGGGACATACAAGGGAACCTGTTAAGGTGGGGAAACTCTGAGGGGGGACTCAAGAAAGCCCCCACATTGAGAAAGGTCCAGTCATTCCCAGTAGCAGTGGAAGACAATCTCTCACAGGATGAATAGATAGTTTTTTTGCCTATTGTGAAAAGTAATACTGCTCTAGATGGTAGTTTGGCTAGTGATGAAGAATCAAATGTGACTGGACAAGATGAGAAACACGTATTTTGCAGACCTCAGTCAAGGATAAAAGTTCCCATTTGAAGGTAAGGATTAATAATAAGGTTTTTAACGAGATTCTGGACACGGAAGCTGATGTGACTATTATTACACAAAAATCCTGGCCTCAGAGATGCCCTCTTAGAGAGGTGAATGCACAATTTTTAAGAATTGCAACTCTATCTAGAGTTCGACAGAATGTTCAGTTGGTGGTCTGCATTGGACCAGAAGGACAGAAAGGGAGACTGAAACCATAAGTGACAGATATAGCTAAAAATCTCTAGGGTTGTGATCTCTTACAGCAATGGAATACTCAGATTAATATTCCTCTAGTCTCGGATACATGTACAATCTTCAGATAGTAGAAAAGATCTGATAAGATGCTGTGGAAAATGGTTACTAACAATCCAGGCTGTACAGAAACTAGATACAAATGATGGACCTTCAGAGGAGCCCAAGACCCTGCCATTGAAATGGCTTACAGATGAACCTGTTTAGGTAGGACAATGGCCTATGACCTCTGAGAGA